TGTGCCCAAAGAAAGCTCATAATACATATTACCTGTATAAATGGACAAGAATAGTTCACCTAGATAAGTGTTCATTTTGCAGATGAAAAAATTGACTTGGAAAGAATTTAGTTCATCTTATTAAAATCACGTTTTTACCAGCATCCTCTCGCTCTGAAAATATGGCTCTTTTTTCTTAGCAGGTTTTTAGGGTTTTTTTTTTTTTTGCCTGCCCTGGGGCTTGAACTCAGCTTCTTTGAGCTCAAGGCTCACGCTCTACCACTTGAGCCACAGTGGCACTTCCACCTTTTTCTGTGATTAATTGGAAAAAGATTCTTACAGACTTTCCTGCCAGGGCTAGCTTGGAACCTTGATCCTCAGATCTCAGCCTCCTTAGTAGCTAGGACTACAAGGATGAGTAACAGGCATCCGGCCTAGCAGTCATCTGTAATTTCCAACCAACCTAAGCTTGTTGAGACTGAATTGGACCTGGAAAAGAGAGAGAACAGGGAGAGTAACAGGAAGAGTAAAGGGACATAAGAGAGAATGATGGAGGAAATGAGTCTGGTTAAGGTACAGGGACATGTATATGTATGATGTACATGCTGCTAAAAAATAAGAATAGCCAAGGGGCTCTTCCCTATAATCCTAGCTATTCTGAGATTTGAGGATCAAGGTTTGAACCAGTGAGACATTTATCTCCAATTAATCACCAAAAAGCTGGAAGTAGAACTATCATAAGCCTTGAGGAAAGAAGCTAAGGGACAGTGCTCAGGCTCTGAGTTCAAGCCTCAGTATTGGCACCAACAATGAATAAATAAATAGAATAAATTTCCTAATAAATAAAATTTCCAAACTCCTCCATTTTGTCCATTCTAGGCAGAATGGATTTAGTTACTAATTATGTGTATTTGGATAATTTACTGACCATTTTCTTCAAAGTAGCAGTGTCAACTTACATAGAATTCTACAATTAAATACTACATGACAAGAACTGTGGGAGACAACAAAAGTATATCAAATAATTATGCAATGCAAGTAATATAATTTGTTATGGAAACACAAGAAAGAGCAATTTGCTCTTAAAAGTAAGAAAGACTGAGGAAAAACTACAGAGGAAATACAGGTAAACTTTCAGCTAACCTTAAAAATAAAAATAAAGCTGGGTGTCATGACTTATACCTGTAATCCTAGCTACTCTGTAGGCCAAGATCTAAGGATAGCAGTTCAAAGGCAGACTGAACAGGAAGGTATACAAGACTCTCATCTCCAATAAACCACCAACAAGCCAGAAGTGAAGCTGTGGTTCAAGTAGTAGAGCACTAGCCTTGTGCTCTACAAGCACAAGCTCCCAGGTCCTGAGTTCAAGCCCTAAAACTATAAAAATAAATAATATATAAATAAAAGCAGGAACTCACCAGAGAAAGAAGAATGATATTTCAGCAAAATCATAGAGGTATGAGTTGGGTTAGGATATTTCTTTGTTGTTGTTGTTGTTGTTGTTGTTCTATGCTGGAGATGGATCCCAAGATCTCACCAATACTAAAAAAGGGCTCTATATCCCCAGAACATCATAAAGGTATGAAGTTTATATTTCCTTCAAGCATAACAAGTTCCAGGTTGTCAAGTGAAGGCAGGAGGCAATAATAGCCAGAAAATAATAGCTAAATTATGTATGTAAAATCTAGACTTGGTAGCATTCTGCAATCCAATATTTCTTTTTTCTTCTTCTTCTTCTTTTATTTTATTTATTTATTTTTTTATTTTGGTCAGTCATAGGGCCTGAACTCTGTGCCTGGGCGCTGTCCCTCAGCTCTTCAGCTCAAGGCTAGCACTCTACCACTTGAGCCACAGCGCCACTTCTGAGTTTTTCTGCTTATGTGGTGCTGAGGAATCAAACCCAGGGCCTCATGCATGCAAGGCAAGCACTTTACCACTGAGCCAACTTCCCAGCCCTCTTTTTTTTTTTTCCAGTCATGGGACTTGTACTCAGGACCTGGACGTTATCCCTGATATCTTTTGCTCAAGGCTAGCACTCTATCACTTTTTATTTTTCCGGTCCTGGAGCTTGAACTCAGTGCCTGGGCACTGTCCTGGAGCCTCTCTTGGCTCAAGGCTAGCACTCTAACACTTGAGCCACAGCACTACTTCTGGCTTTTTCTGTTTGTGTGGTACTGAGGAATCAAACACAGGGCTTCATACATACTAGGCAAGCACTCTACCACTAAGCCACATTCCCAGCCCAACTACTTTGAGCCACTGTGCCAATTCCAGTTTTCTGGTTGTTAATTGGAGAAAAGAGTCTCACAGACTTTTCTGCCTAGGCTAGCTTTGTACAGTGATCCTCAGATCTCAGCCTCTTGACTAGTTAAGATTACAGGCATGAGCCACCAGTACTTGGCCCAATATTTCTTTTTGTTTTTCTTTTTTCTTTGCCAGTCCTAGAGTTTGAACTCCAGGCATACATACTGTCCCTGAGCTTCTTTTTCTTCAAGGCTAGCACTTTACCACTTAGGCCACAGTACTACTTCCAGCTCTTTCTGTTTTTGTGGTGCTGAGAAATTGAACCCAGGGCTTCATGCATGCTAGGCAAGCATTCTACCACTAAGCCATATTAACAGCCTATGGCCTAGTATTTCTAATATGTTTTTTTGTTTGTTTTTGGCAAGTACTGAGGTTTGAACTCTAGGCTTCAAGCTCACTCAGCTTGCTTACTAGTGCTCTATCACTTGAGCCACACCTCCAGACCTAATTTTTACTGATTAGAAAGGGAGTTTCTCAGACTTTTCTGCCTGGACTAGGTTTGAACCTCAATCTGCAGATCTCAGACTTCTGAATAGCTAGTATTATAAATTTGAGCCAATGGCACACAGCTAGTATTTTCAAGAAAAGAGATACTGTCAGAGGCAGAGTGCTGGTGGCTCACACTTATAATCCTAGCTATTCACAATGCTGAGATCTGAGGATCAAGTTCAAAGCCAAATCAGGCAGGAAAGTCTATAAAACTCTTTTTTTTTCTTTTTTTATTGGTTATGGTGTTTGAACTCTGGGCCTGAGCACTGTCCCTCAGCTCTTCAGCTCAAGGCAAGCGTTCTATCACTTCAGCCACAGCACCACTTCTAATTTTCTAGTGGTTTACTGGAGATTTGAGTCTCACGGCCTTTCCTGCCCAGGCTGGCTTTGAACCATGATCCTCAGATCTCAGCCTCCTGAGTAGCTAGGATTACAGGCATAAGCCTGTAAGCCTCAAAGTAGTAGAGTGCTAACCTTAAGCAAAAGAGCTCAAGGGACAGCACCCAGGCCCTAAGTTCAAGCTCCACAACTAACAACAACAAAAAGTTACCCATTTTTTAGAAGGGAAAACCTGAGGTACAATAACCCAAGTCCCAGATTTGGAGCTCAGTTTATCTTCAGAGTTCCTCTTAACCACTCTACTTTTAGAATTATAGCAAAGGAAAAAATAAATTGTAAGCCGGGCGCCAGTGGTTCACTCCTGTAATCCTAGCTACTCAGGAAGCTGAGATCTGAGGATCATGGTTCAAAGCCAACCCTGCGCAGGAAAAGTCCGTGAGACTCTTATCTCCAATAAACCACTCAGAGAAAGGTAAGTGGCACTGTGGCTCAAGTGGTAGAGTGCTTGCCTTGAGCTGAAGAGCTGAGGGACAACACCCAGGCCCAGAGTTCAAGCCCCAGGACCGACCAAAAAAATAAAATTAAATTAAAAAAAATAAATTGTAGAAATCCTGCAGGCTCAGCTATCAGAAGACTGGCCAACTAAAGGCCAGCCTATCCTGTTTAAAAAGTATAAAATAAAATTAAATAAAAATAGAGATGAGTCCAGCAAAACCTTTATTTTAAAAAATAAATAAATTGTTGGGTGCCAGTGGCTCATGCCTGGAATTCTAGCTGCCCAGGAGGCTGAGGTCTGAGGTTCAAAACCAGCCTGAGCAAAAAATAGTCCATGAGACTCTTTTTCCAGTGAACCAACTAAAAGCTGGTAGTGGAGGTGTGGCTCAAGTGGTAGAGTGCCATTCATGTGTGGGAAAAAACTAAAGGACAGTGTCTAAGCCCTGAGTTCAAGCCCCAGTACTGATGCACACACACACACACACACACACACACACACACACACACACACATCCTATATATATACACACATACATATAAATTATATATATATATAAATTCTGGGCTGAGAGCCCAGGGGAAGAGGAAGGAGGGATGAGGTTAAGTGTGGACTTTGAGGAGTAACTAGAGAAGAAGAATGTTTAACATCAATATGTAATACTCTTTATCTAAAGATCATGAAGGTCACTGTTTACCTTTTTTTTTTTTATTTCCGGTCATGGTGCCTGAACTCTGGGCCTGGGCACTGTCCCTCAGCTCTTCAGCTCAAGGCTAGAGCTCTACCACTTGAGCCACAGCGCCACTTCCGGCTTTTTTGTTTTTGCTTATGTGGTGCTGAGGAATCGAACCCAGGGTCTCTGGCATGCAAGGCAAGCACTCTACCACTGAGCCACCTTCCCAGCCCCTTTTCTTTTTTTTTTTTTTAACCCAGTCACTACATTGCTCAGGCTAGTCTGGAACGCCTGGATTCTAGCAATGTTCTTGCTTCAGCCCCTAATAACATTCTGTCCTAAAACATCTGTTCACTACCCAGCAAGGCCTGTGCTCTGGGGAAGAAGAAGAATTTCACCTCTAACCTTTGTCCCCAGTCCTGGCAGCTCACCTGGGTAACCACTATATCCCAATATTGGCCCGGGACATCCTTTTCCCCAAACAAACCAACCTCTCCTCACATCCCCCCACTCTGTGTGCTGGCAGATTCTTCACAGTTCTGTATGTAACTGGCTTGGTTTTTCAAGTCAGATATTTGACTGCTTTATCTCTTACAAAAAGGAGTCATGCCAGGCAGACACTATTCTCCCAGGACCCCTGGTGGCCAGCACAGAGTTGAGACTACAGCCTCTTGAATCCCTGAGCCCCTGATTTGTGTCTTTCAAAGAGGGTGTCCCCCAGCAATGACCTCCTCATTGTTTCTGGTCTTTCTATTCCTGTCTCCAGCTTCAGTGGCCACTCTCAGAGCTGACAGTCAGTGTCCAGCATGTGGGGGACCCACCTTGGACTTGGAGAGCCAGAGGGAACTGCTTCATGACTTTGCCAAGAGAAGTATCCTGGATAAGCTGCACCTCCGCCAGCGCCCAACACTGGGCCGGCCTGTGTCCAGATCTGCCCTGAGGACAGCACTACAGCGCCTCCGTGAACTATCACAAGAGGCTCTTCTTGAGGACGACATAGGACAGGAATATGAGATCATCAGCTTTGCTGAGACAGGTGGGTACCTCATCTGCAGTTCTACCCCAAACCCTGATCTCTCAAGGAAAGGAAGTTTCCTCATCAACTTTAGCCTCTCTCATACCATCCAACACCTGTTTCCTATATCCACAGTCCTAAACCCATACTACCACCCCCTAGCCTTCCTCTTCCAGCTCACATATAACCTATCTGCAGCTAGGAATTGGTAAATTTCACCTCTTTGGGGAAGTATCTGCTCTCATTTTCTTTGGATCTTCTCTCTGTAGGTGTCATAAACCTCCATAGGGGTTATCCCATGCAATTCCCAGGCTTAGGCCCAGGGACTGGTGGCTGGGGAGTCCATGCTTTCTCTGGCCACAGGACCAAGCCTCTTTATCCCTAATTCCTTCAGATGTTTTGTTGTTGTTGTTGTAGAAAAAGAGAGAAAAATATTGAGAGAGGGAGAGAACACCAAAACCATATTGTATGCTCCACATTGAGGTACACATATCAGAAAAAGATTAAAATAGGACCCAGGGGCTGGGAAGTTGGCTCAGTGGTAGAACGCTCGCCTTGCATGCTTAAGGCCCTGGGTTCGATTCCTCAGCACCACATAAGCAGAAAAAAAAAAAGCCGGAAATGGCGCTGTGGCTCAAGTGGTAGAGTGCTAGCCTTGAGCTGAAGAGCTGAGGGACAGCGCCCAGGCCAAGAGTTCAGGCCCCACAACCGGACCAAAAAATAAATAAATAAATAAATAAATAAAATAAAAAATAAAATAGGACCCAGAAACAATGATAGAAGATAAAGGTACTCCCTTGAAGAAGGAATAGTTGAAAATAATGAATTCTAAGACAGAATATATAGTGAGGCTTTTGTAAGCAGGCCAAAATTTCATGATCCTCCTGCTTCAACCTCCCAAGTACTGAGATTGCAGATGTGTACATGATGCCTAGCTTCAACATATGGATTTTAAGTGAACACACACACACACACACACACCTACATTTATAGCACCCTTTCTCCTGAAGCTTCTGATCACTCAATAGTCTAGCCCTAACTTCTTTAAAATATGGTTTTAAAGCCATGAGTTTCATGGCTCATGACTATAATCCCAACTGCTCTGCCTCTTGGCAAGAGGATCCAAAAATCAAGACCAGTCCAAACAAAGGTAGAGGTGAGACTCTGTCTCAAAATCAAAATAAAAACATAGGACTGGGGGCACAACTCATAGGCAGAGTGCTTGCCTAGCATATGCAAATCCCCTGGGCTCAATCCCCAGACGGTGATGGAAGACAACTTCAATGTATAAATGCTAGCAATAGTTTACATACATCTTGCTTACTAATGTCTCATTGAGGAAGCAAGTGATCACAGGCAAACTCAGCTTCAGCATGGGGTGGAACTAGATATGAAAACTAGAAGGTTCGGTGAGGGCTGCCAATATAGTAGCCTACTTTTGTTTGTCCTCTGGCCTTTAATAATTCATGTCTCTCTCCCCTGCCCCCCTCCAAATAAGTTCCCTTTATTAAGCTATCTGGTTTAGGCTTAAAGTCCAGAGTCTCATCCTCTGAATCAGGTGCAAATAGAGGCAGCTACTTCTTCAGATGTTCAGGTCATCATGGTGTCCTAAAGCTGGCTCATATGGCTTCCTGAGAGCTTATTGTAAAGTTTCTTACAGCTCTGTGTTCAGTGACTTGCCATTAGTGGCTTAAAATTGGACATTGTAGGAGAATTTGTACTACAGAAATTGGCAAACACTGCAAATCAGGTTTTAAAATTTTTTCCTCTGTAGACCCATTGTTAAACATTTACTAACATACCACTGCCTGTGTCCTAAAAATATGCTATCTACCTCCCACTCACTGTACACAGAATACTGAGGCAGGGACAGAATTGACTGTGATAGATATTCCCATTCACAATGTGGTACGGGAGAGTGAGACATAGAGCAGTCACTGAGCAATAAATCTATAAAAGTTTTTTTTATTATAAAATAGGGTCTCTTTATGTAGTCCAACTTATTCCTCTGAGACTGTAGGCAAAGCACCTCTACACCCAGTACTTGTCCATAAAAATTTGAATTTCAATCCAGGAATGCATCTCTCAGTCCATCCTAGACCCACAATTCCCTTGATAGGGGCCTGATTCTGTACAAGATTTCTCTACTGTTGATCACTGGCTCCCAGTTAGCCCTCAGTTCCCTACTTTCTCTTATGTCTTCCTTTTTGAATGGGGAATAATGTATGTTTGCAATGAGCAGTTTTCTTAGCTGACTTACTACTCAAAGAAGGGGGAACCTGGAGTTCTCTTTTTTCTTTTTCTTTTTTAAGATAGAATCTTAACTAAGTAGTCTAGGCTGAACTTCAAATTACACTATGTTGGCCTTGAACTCCTAATCCCACTATCTCATCCTCCTGAGTACTGAGATGACAGATATGAATTCAGCGTACCTACTCTCTTTTTTGCTTTTGGTTTTTGCAGTACTAGAGATAGAATCCAGGTCTTAAATATTATACAAGACTCTAACACTGAGCTACAACCCCCTGGCTCCTATTTCTTCTCTCTCTCTCTCTGTGTGTCTTTTTCTCTCTTTCCCTCTCTCTGTTTTCAAATCCTGGGACTTGAACTCAGGGCCTGGATGCTGTTTCTCAGCTTTTTTACTCAAGGCCAATACTCTACCACTTGAGCTATAGCTCCGCTTCTAGCTTTTCAGTGGTTAATTAGAAATAAAAGACTCATTGACTTTCTTGCCTGGGTTGGCTTCAAACCTTGATCCTCAGACCTCAGCTTCTTGAGTAGCTAGGATTACTGATTCTTGGCCTTCTTTTCATTTTGAAGTAGTTGTATTTCTTTTGATTATTAGAATTTTCTTTAAAAGTTGGTGTGATCTCTAAATAACAAATTGTAGTCCACTTACTTAGTGTACTCAAGCATCCCACTGTATGAAGACAAACTCTAATTTAAGCTACAAGTCAGTGTCATGGTATGTTATGAAGAAGCTCTTTTGTCTAGTTGAGAGAACTTACAGAATATCACTTTACTTTTTTTCTAGCCTATATCACCTTCCATTTTAGGTTTTAACAGATGTTACAGCTAAACAAAAGAGTTTTTTTGTTTGTTTGTTTTTTACCGGTCATGGGGCCTGAACTCTGGGCCTGGGCACTGTCCCTCAGCTCTTCAGCTCAAGGCTAGAGCTCTACCACTTGAGCCATAGCACCACTTCTAGCTTTTTCTGTGTATGTGGCGCTGAGGAATTGAACCCAGAGCCTCATGCATGCAAGGCAAGCACTGTACCACCGAGCCACCTTCCCAGCCCTAGACAAAAGGTTTTACAGCTGACCTTTTATTTACTCTGATCTTCACTCAGCAGCCATGCTTTTTAACTGGCAGTACTCTGGATTTGAATTTCTGAGCTTCTTACTTTGAGACACTTCCATTAAACAAAGAAGTAAGGAAAAAAGGTTCTATTTTTCAACCTAGCTAGTCCATTTAGGAATATTTTTTCTTGAAAATAGAATCAATTCTTTTATATTGTTTTGTTTTTAAATTGTTAGCATAAATTAATTGTACAAAGAAGATCATTGCAATATTTACATATGCTCATCAAAGTACATACATGCATTTTGATAACAATCACTCTGTATTACTCTTTCTTAACCTCCATTTACACAATTCCTAAAAAAAAAAAATTCTCTCTCTCCTGAAATACCTTATCATGGCCAGCTAAAATGAGCCAACTGGCATTTTCAGCATTCTGCCTGGAAATATCTGTAGCTAAATTCACAACTTGGTTAGCTGTGGTTTCTGGCTTCCAAGTTACCACAGGTGATAGCCAATACATAACTCAGGTTCTCCTTTCCCCAGCTTCCAGCAGCAATTTCCTCACTGCTCCCCCTGTCTTCACTAAGTCCCTTTCCTTGCCTTCTAACCTCTGCCTGCCACGTAGTCTGAAAGCAAGTACTCCATATTGTAGGCTTTGGTTGTAGTAGCACACCACTTCTAATACTAATTTTCTGTTTCAGTTCTTTATTAATATAACATACCAGTCCCAAATATAGAGTTTTGTTTGTGCACTACTGGAAATTAACCATGGCCTCATAAATGTAGGAAAGAGTACTATCACTAAGCTATACCTAACCATCTTAAAACAACAAATGCATTATTTCTCGTGATTTTGTAACATCGCAAGGTTTACCTGAACATTTCTTCTCCTCCACTGGGTGTACCATGCAACTATATTTAGCTAAGAGCTCAGATGGGACTTTTTTTTTTTAATTGGGGCTTGAACTGAGGGCCTACGTGCTCTTAGCTTTTCCATTCATGGCTGGCACTCTTCCACTTTATTTGTATCCCCCACTTCCAACTTTTTACTAGTTAATTGGAAATAAAAGTCTCACAAACTTTTCTGCCAGGTGACCTCCCCTGATCTCAGCCTCTTGAGTAGCTAAAGTGCAGATCCAAGCCATCCTGCCCAAAGTGACTTCACATCAAAAACTGATCCCTGATACTCCAAAGTCTCACTCCACATAGCTTTTTATCACATAGTAGTCTAGCTCAAAGTTCTTTTAAGCAACTGTGCCTAGCTTTCAAAACTCAAAAGTCAATTATATAAATACAAATCAAACTTTTGCCTGCAGCATGCTTGCTAATCCCTTACTTATAGGAGACCCTACCTGAAAGATCAAACAAAAGAATTGAGGGCCTGGCTCAGGTGGTTGAATGTTTGTCTAGAAAACATGCGGCCCCAAGTGCAATCTCCAACACCACTGCAAATTTAAAATAACAGGCATTTTTGTTTTATTCTCTTTTGTTTGAGACAGGGTCTTGCTAGATAGCCCAAGCTGGCTTTGAACTCCAGATGTTCCTGCCTTAGCCTCCTCCCAAAAGCCTTTGGACTTTTTCACCAATAAGTGAGAAAGGGTTGTTTGGTTGGGTAATTTGTTGTTGCTGTTCTGTTTATTTTTGCTACTGAGGTTTGAGCTCAACTCCTTGTCCTTGCTAGGTAAGCAATCTACCACTTCAGTAACAACTCCATCACT